CATTCCAGTTTATTATCAGACAGTAACAGTTCTCCAGAGAAGTTGGGTTTTGTTCAGAAAAAGAGTGTTGAAAAATTATTAAAGCACCAAAACACCTGTATAAACTTATGTCAAGACAGGAGGAACTCTTACAAATAGGTAGGATAAAAATACACTGTATTAAGCCTTTACTTGCTTTTATAAGATCTTTTAATTGGCTCCATTTACCCAGGAAAGACAATGTGTTAATTTAGTGCCTTTTCCCTTCTGCAGTGGTGTCAGCAAACCATCAGCCAGAGAAGCCAGGAGTTTGAAATCATCTCCAGAGACCACTCCCTGTAGAAATACCCATCAGAAGGGAATTGCCTCGAAGCCAAGGCTGTGTTCAGCCTATCTAGCTTTATTAATCTGCTGACAGCCTGCCACTTCTCACTGGCATCACTGAGCAAGCCAGGTAAACTGCAGCCTAATTAATGGCCAGGCTAGAGGCTTTCTTCAAAGACTGACTGAGACAGATGCTGGTTTTTCCCAACAGAAATGCCAACCCAGTTTAAGTGTTCCTGCAACCTCCACAGTCAGGCAATTTACACAGATTTGGTGTGTTTGAATACACTGTGCAAAAGCATGTTCAGGCATCCTAAACACAGTGTCCAATGTTTGTGTACTTGTGGGTCAGATACCTGCCAAAAGCCAAAGCCTTCAGTAGGATGAGAAGATATTCCTCTCCACCACTGTTTGAAACAGCTTTAGTTTGTATGAAACACAGACTCATAGGACTGGAAATATCTCCGGCCTTAGGCTGCATCAAAACACGTGTGACAGAGATTTAAATGGACTTGGATGCAAGTCATGTAAGGTCAAGTTTCCATTTAAGAACCATTTGCATTAGCAGTCCTACCACCGTAGTAGCACAGGAGAAGAGACACTAATGATATTTAGCATATTAACATGGACAAAAGCTATTTGCTACATCCTCAGGAATAAACACAGATGAACTCACAACAAAGCTGTGCTTCCAATCCTCCTCGTTGTGCAGAGCTCTTACAGAGGTTCACACAAAATGCCTCACTGGCAGTGAGATCCAGGATGTGGTTTGGGCATAGCCAATAAAGCAGAGAATACACAATCCCTGTCAGTCAGGCTCACCTGACACGTGCAGTTGTGACTCCTCATGCAGTTTGGTGAACGTGCAGTTCATACCTGTATGAGAGCCAAGCCTGCCTGCTCAGCCAGGCACAGGTTCCTCGCTGCAAAATGGTCTCAGCAGAAAACGCTCAGCTCCATGTGTGGGTAACATCAGCTCCCTTGACAGAAGCAGATGGGAGGTCCATGTGCTGCTATGTCAGAAATATCTGTCATTCTCCCATCTTTCCTGTGTCCTGTGTCTTAGGTTATCAGGCGTGCTCCTCTCAATGCCAGTTAAAAGGCAGGTGTCAAACACAGAAGGCACGTTCATTTATAACTGCACAGACTATAATTATATGTAGTCTAGGGCTTATTTCCTGAACTAGGAAGGAGGAAAAATGGGTTAGGTGGGTGTGAGTAACAAGCAAGAACACGACTTTTGGAGGTTATGAAACTACCTTGATCTCCCAGTACCAGAAATGCTGGCTAAGAACAAACAAATCAGAAAACTCTGTACAGGTTGAGAGTTGGGACAAAAACAAGGGAATTGGGAACTGTCAAGGGAATAGTAACAAGTCTCTGATCGAGGCTGGGAACTTAGTATTGCAAGCAAAAATGGAGGAGAAATATGAGGTCACCACTACAGCTTATTTGCAGAAAGATAAGTGCAACCTTGGGATTACCAGGTGAGATATTTCAGTGAGAAATAGGGACTTTAATTTCAGTGCATGAAGCGTCAGTGAGACCTCCTCCCATTTAATACTCTAACTACTTTTGGTAACCCATATGAACTTTGAGATTAATTGACACCAGAGCAGATGGAGGGAAGAGGTCTGATGTGAACTGAGAGTCATTTAGGAAAGAAGATTGAAAAGTCATTCCTCCATAGCTCAGTGAGAAAGTAGACAGGAACCATCTCCATAAAAATACCTGAGTAAGGAGAAGTGAGCAGAACAGCTACTGAAATGAGAGCCAGAACATGTGGGGAAGGGTTCCTGACCAGCAGGGACATGGACAGCCCAGGAGAACCTCACAGGTGGGTAACAGGCAAAACCACAGAATTGTTTAAAGTGGGAGCATGGTCCTTTCATGAAAAGGACCATAAACAACATTATTCCTGGCACAGCAGAGAACTGGGCTCTATGATCCAGGATCCTCCTGTGCTTGTAACTTCAAATTGCCTAACAGGAATAGAACAGGAGCAAAACAAAGCCTTTGGCCACTTGTTACTGGAGGTCTGTGGAATATTTTCACAGCAGTTGCAATGCCAGAAGCTCCAGTGTCCTGGCTCAACACCAACACATTCCTCTGCTATTTAAGTCCCCCCCGTGGTTTCACTTAGTAATGCTACTCTTTGCTCCCTGTCCAAAAATTGTGGAACAATGCTGCCTTTTTGAGCTTAAAAATGTTTTCTATTTACTGAATTGCTCTTCAAAACATAGTATAATTCACTCTAGAGTGTAACTGTGTTGCATTTTAACCTGCACAGAAATAGCATGTGCAAGTGTGGAGAGAGGATGGGAGAAAAAATAGCAATACAAAAATATCCTTATGACAACATTGAGCCCAAGTGAGAAATATTACCCTTATTTTACAGTAGGAAATTTTTGATTCTTTCAATCCATAAACAAAAGGGTTTGAAACCTTTCCCATGAAAACACAATAAACAGGTGTGGTTTGGGGCTTTGCTATCAGCTGTAGCTTTTAACCAGTCTCTGGAAATTTGGTCTTGAATCTTTTTTATGAGCCTTTCAATGAAGTCTAAAGTTGAATTCTGGCTTTTCATCAAGATTAGAGAAAATTAATGACCCTGGCCTAAAGACCCTAATTTGCACTGGCAGGCTTGGAGTTTGGAGCAGCATGAATTTCCCAGGGTGTGTGTGTTGGTGACTGTTAACCTGCATTACCAGTATTGCAACAGTGCTGGATCCTCCCAAACAAGAATCATGACATGTCCTATCCCAGATCTGTATCTATGGATGGCAGATATTGCCTAGAACAAGGAATCATTATTATTATTACTATTATTATTATTAATTCTTATAGCAATCACCAGACAGCTGAGCTACTCCCACAGCTGCATTAGGTACCATGACTAAAATATGCAACCCTTTTGTTATTTCATCTTCTATGAGAAAAGTGGACTGTCATATTTCAACAGACGATTTTAAGCACATATTTCTCAGTAAGTATGTTGGAAAATACAGCTCATAAAACGTGCCTTGCTATTCCAGTTTTGCCTATATTCAGTATTGCAGCCAAGTTATACAGACACCTAAAGTAGCTCCAGTCAAGATGGGGTCCTGGAGCTATGCAGGTCGCATGGAGCAAAATACGCAGCAATCTGCCCTTAGAGTGGGGTAAATTAGTCTTCACAGAGCTCTGCCTTAACAAGTTGCTTTAATATTTGGATGGAATTGGGTTAGAGATGGCTTGAGTAGAGCTGATTCTAAGCACAAGCCAAGTAGGCAGATTTTCAAGGGCATTCACCACCAGGACGCAGAAGCTGCTGAGATAAGAAACTTTCTGCCTAATTTTGCTGTGCCAGAACCCTGGAAAGGGATGGAGAGAGAGGTACAGGAGGAAGAGATTTCCTGCAGGAGCTGCAGGAACAGCACTGGCTTCCCACCACAGCTCCTTCCCAGCCCCTGGCACAGCCAGGCTGCAGCTCCTGCTCCTCAGGGTGGGGAGAGCTTCAGGTGTGCCCACCTTGGAGGGGTGGTGGGGCTGCTGAGGGCAGGGACCCCCTCTCACAGCAGCCACTTGTGCAGCAGTGCCTCATGCAGCCCTGCAGAGGGATGGGGGCTATCGCTGGCTCTGATGCCTTGGCCAGACCCTGCACCCCAGGACAGGTTTGTTGCAGAGGAGCTTCATGGGATGGGGTAAAATTTGGTCTCCTAGATATCCTGGAATCACCTTCTGAGGATAACTACTGAGGTGTTGAACTCAGTCCAGGGGTTGTAGCCAACAGTGCTAAGAAGCGCTGCAGCACTTTGAGCAGACAGGAGTTTCCTTAGCACCACAGGCTTTGTGTCCAGCCATTTCTCTCTGCTGTCAGCCTGCCAAGATGTGATAAAAGTACCAATAAGGGCAGGTTGCTCACTGCCAGGATGGAGGAGATTCCAGGTGAACCTCAGAGGACAATGAGCTTTCCTGGGCAAGGGCACTCCTACACTAGGGGCTGCACTTAAAATCACTGGCGACATTCTCCTAGAGCAGGTGCTGGCACAAATCTCTGCAGAATTTTATTCCACTCCTCAGACTCCCTACACTCCCTTGACACTGCCCTTGCAATCCATTTCAGGAGCCCACTCCTCATCCATCAACAATTTCAGCCTCATCAAGGCTGTATCTGTGCCAGCGACAGAGTAAAAACGGTTCCACTTCTCTGGGACAAGGTGGCATCAGAATGTCCAGGGAGCCCTGGGAGGAAATTACCAGGAAGGAATCCCAGCACATCAGAGAGGAGAATGGGGAAACGTTACTTTCCCAGGGGGACAGGTGGCCCGCAGAGTGCTCAGGGGCTGCGGCAAGGCTGTGTCCGCCAGCCCGCTCCACCCAGAAAGTGTCCAGGACGTGTCCAAGGGCTCCGGGCCGGCTCTGAGGGCTCCTAGCAGGCTCCAGAGGCTCCGGGCGAGCTCCACGGGCTCCGGGCCGGCTCTCGCCCCCGGCAGCTGCCGTCGGCAGGACGGCTCCGGCCAGGAGAGGGAGCCGTGGCCCCGCGCACCCCGCCTCGCACCCCGCCTCCCCCGGCCCGACCGAGCCGGCAGCAGCGGAGGGACGGAGCTGTGCCTGCTCCTGCTCCTGCTCCGGCCCCGGCCCCGCTGCCCCGCAGTGACCGCGGCGGGACCGCCCCGAGCGCCCCCGGAGCGCGGCCGCGGGGAGAGCGGCGGGCGGGGCGGAGCGGAGCCGAGGGCGCGGATCGGCCACGACGGCGAGGAGGCAGAGGAGGAGGAAGAAGAGGAGGAAAAAGGAGAGGAGGAGGAAGAGGAGGAGAGCGCGGCGTGCCGGACACAGCTGTGCGCTCCCCGCGCCCTCAGGTGAGCCGCGCTGCCCCGAGGGGGCGCGGGGGACGCCCGTGTTCCTGTAGGCGTGGGCGTGGGCAGGGACAAGGGACAAGGGAGCCTGTCCCGCCCCGCCCCGGCCGTGAACTTCCCCGCACGCGAAGGGAAAGTTTGTGTCGGAGAAGGCGGATTCCAGCCCCGGCGCGGGGGGAGCCGGGCGGCGGCGGCGCGCAGCCGGCAGCGGCCCCCGCTCCTCGGCTGGCACGGGCAGGGGAGAGGAAGGAAAGAAGAGGAAGCGCTCGGGAGAGCCCGAGGAGCAGCGCCCGGCGGCTACGGGCGAGGGAGGACAGGTGGGCACGGTGACAGCGAGCGTGCGGGGCCGGGGATGCGGGAGCGGAGCGGGCGCGATGGGGCTGGGGATGGGGGAGCGGAGCGGGCGCGATGGAGCCGGGGACCCCGCGGACCTCGGGGGACCCTGGGCGATCCCTCGGCGATGCCGCGGTGTGCGGGGACCGAGCCGAGCCGCGGGACCGCGGGTTTGTGTCCGCCGCTCCTGCGATGCCCCGGTCCCCGACATGCGGAGGGATTCGCTTCAGTTCGCTCCCGTGGGCCGTGGAGATGCCGTGGGGATGCCGTGGGGATCTGGGCATTGCTGGCTGGAGCGCTACACGCGCTGGGAAATGCAACTTTAATTTTCATCCGGATCGCAAATTCTTGAGCCTCTGATAGCTGCTCTCTGCTGTCAGACGGGTCTCTGAAATGGAAGTGGGGAGAGGAAGGGGTCAGGCTTAAGCCGTAGCCGGGAAATAAAGTGAAAGAGGCATGTGCAAGAAAACAGACTGGAAGCGATTAGATGCTGGCAGCAAGATGGCCTTTGCTGTGTTTGTTGGGGGCAGCTGCCCCCTTATGTGAAGCAGGTTTTCTTTTTTTTTTTTTTTTTTTTTTTTTTTTTTTTTTTGGGGGGGGTGTATCTGGAGGCAAACTGGGTGGTTTCCTAAAAAGAAGGGGAGAAAGGAAACCATCAGTGCTTCACTATTTCAGGTGTCCCTTTTCTGTGCCAATGTCGCTCTCCCCTGTGACAGTGGCAGTGCTTGTTCCTCACTCTGGGCTGGTTTCTTGCAGTGTGCCTGTACAGTGCTTGGCACAACAGAATCCTGATCGTGGGGCCTTGGGATGTCACAGTAAACTGGATTATAAATGCCCTCTCACATACACACTCTGTCTTTTCATCCTGACCTCTGCTTTGTGAATAGCTGGTTATAGTGCTTGGATAAAATTCTGGTTGGCTTTACAGATCTTTCTTTTCTTATAAAATGATGGATTTTGTTCCATGCATTCCGTTTTTTGCCCTAAGAAAGGCTTTTCACTTCTGGATTTGTGAGATTGCAGCAAGCTCCTTGTATTATAAAAACACTTATCTCCTTCATAATTAAAAAGTATTATTTTCCTGACACTCCATTTTTAACTGTGGCCCTCTCAGGCAAGCAGAAGTGTCACCCAACACACGCTTCCAGGATTGTGAGGTGTTATTTATTAACTCTACTGTGGAGAGTCCATATCTCATAACTTAGAGGGTCATTTATAACAGGTTGCTTTTGATAGCTCTGGAAGATTTACTTGCTGTCTTGTATTCCTTGCAGGAAAGGCATCCCTTGTTTTCATGGAGAGCATCACTCCAGCCCACAAGCTCTCGGGTGGGCAGGCTTGGTGCTGGAAAGGCTCCTGCTTTCTGTCTCCACTGCCTGTCTGTGGTGAGCAGGAGACGGCAGGCAGAGAGGATTAAACTCTAAAATACAGATATTCTTCCCTGGAAGTAGGCAGGGTGTTGTTGCTGGGATCACCCTGTCTGGAGGAGCAGCATCCTAAGGATGTAGGATAATGGGGGACGTGGAGAGTAAGCTTGAGAGGACTTGGGGTGATGGAAGCCTGCAGGGCACTGCAATGACTGGAAATGTTGAGCTGGGAAGGTGGGAGCTGCTGCATGGAGCTGCAGGAAGGAAGGGGCTGTGGGGTGAGAGGCTGTGTTTCTGACTCCATGCCTCTGTGCAAGGCAGAGCTGCTTCCACAAGCCCTGGGATTGCTTTCCATGTCCCTGCTTCTAGCTTGAGTTCAAAGTGTCTGCATTGGATATGGTGCTTGCTGATGTCTGTCCATGGCTCCCCAGAGTCCAGAGGGTCCTCTGATCCCTCCAGGGTGTGGAAGGAAAGCTTGTGTGTGAACACTTCTGGGCTCTCCCTTTCCAGACACTGTTGGTCTGTGCAGGTATTCTGCATTTGAGCATGAGCCTGTGCAGTGGGGATGAGCACTGCCCTGCTCTGGGCCCCAGCAGCCTCATCCCCAGGGTCAGGTAGCACTACCCCAAAACACCTGGCACCACAAAGCACACACAGATAAAAGAGCCTTAAGAGGAGTAGTGTAGCAGCCTGGATACTTGGAGGTGTGGGAAATGCCTCCCTGCTGGCCTCAGAGCTGTAATTTTAGCTCTAAAATAAGCATTCAGGAAGAATGAGGCAGAAAGATTTTGTCCTAGCCTTATTCCTTCAAGACCTGCATGAACCAGATGCCAGCTCTAGGGAGGAAGAATTATATTCTTTATTCAGAATAAGAGTCCAAAATTTGAGTTTTTATTCCTCCTTCTCACTTCTGCTTGAATTTCTCTGTTGGTTATTTTGGCAGGCACATGATTCATATTTCTTTCCCTGTGTGTCCTGGGTCTTCTCTCTTGTCAAGTGTCCTCCCATTTCAGCAAGACTGACTTGGAAAAACTTGCCATAAAGCCCTTGTGACTGCTGGTGTGGGAGAGCCCCAGAGTGCAGGTTGCATTAGCCAGGTGGACACTTAGGAAGATTATATCAGCATGTGAATGCATTCATGTCTTTTTTTTCCCTTATCCTACAGTAATGGGGAGTGCTTTGGGAATAAAAATAGAAATAGGGAAAAGCCTATATAAGCTGAAATCTGTGAACAGCGCCACGTTATCTGGGAACTAAAACACATTCTACAGTGCAGCTCTGCTCTCCTCCTCCTTCCACTCTCCTTATCTTGACACAGCTCATGGATTTCAGTGCCCCCATGAGCAGAGCCTGTGTGCTCTGTGCTGGTGGCAGCCCTGCACCTGGAGGGAGCTGGAGCATCTCTGGCTGGGCACAGTGGGGCAGATGCAGAGGCAGAGCTGGCTCAGGTGTGCCATGCCCTTCTCCCTGCTGGCTCAGGTGTGCCATGCCCTTCTCCACACCCTGCAGGAGGCTGGGGTCTGTGTGCAGGGGGGGGGCTCTGCCATCCACGGTTTGTGGCTGCTTTGTTCTGCTCCACCACCAGCAAAACGTGCGGCTGAGGTTCCCTGCTAAACTGGAACAAAGCAGACACTTCTTTTGGGAGGTATTTTAGGATTTGTCCCCCCCCCCCAGCAGTGCTTTTGCCAGGCACAGGGCTAATCTGATGTTTCTCAGCATCAGTGCTGGTCTGTGTGAGGCTTTTGCACGCGACTGAGCCAGATGAGCTCAGAGAGAGGGCAAGGAGGGAACTGATTTGGGGAAATTGCTTCAGTGGTCCCTGCCCTTTGGGGAATTTCAGTCTTGGCCACTGTGTTTACTGTTTCAGCCTCAGAAGCTCCAATAAGACACATGCACAGAATATGATATTCATAATTTTGGAGTCTGATTTTACAGAAAATAAAATACAGGAAAACGAGTGTACAAGTGTGTGTATTTTGTTACAGGGTTCTCTAAAAATAGTTGCTTGTGAAACAGTATTTTCACTACAAGTGAAGAATCGTGTCTTTAGTCAGTCCTTTGTTAACCTAACAACTCTCAGTTTCATCAAATGGGAATATATCCCCAGGAATTCCTCTGACAAAGGTTTCCCCTGAGTCTGGATGATTATCCAATTACAATTTAAAGAAAATTACAGCAAGGATAATTGGCTAAAGATAGAAGTATCTGAGAGCGTTAGGGAAGGAGAAGGAGAGAGCGAGAAAGTGAGAGCTTCACTTTCTCATATGAGTAAATGAGAATTATTTCAGTCCTTAACTTTTGCAGTGAGTGGATTCAAGGTCCCTGGTGTTTGGATCTCCCTCCCTCTTCCTCCCTCCTCTTCTCTCCCTCCCTCTACTCTGCCTTCTTATGTGTTGACTTGATATTTAGATGAAAAAGTTACATTGATTCTTATGGAATCTTTTTACATTTACATGTGTTAACAAAATGAGGCTGTTAACTTAAATGCTCTATTTGCAGCGGAGAATGAGACATTTCCATGAATCCTGGGCTCACTCGGGGAAGTGGTAGGTGGCTCCTTCTCCTGGGAGCACTGGGAAGGTGCCAGAGAGCCATTAGCTTGGAAATCCCACCCAGAGCGGGGCCGTGGGAGCTCCCTGCCCTGGGTGCGCGGAGAAGGAGCCCCAGGGCTGTGCCTGGCGGGACCCTGCGTGCCCAGCGCTCCCATCCGTGCCCATCGCGGGCACTGAGCTGCCAGGGCACGGTTTCCACCTGGTTCTGAAGCGTTGGAGGCTGCCTGCAAGCCCACTCACATTTGTCATTGCTAGCAGCTGGCTCAGGCCGGGCTGGGCAGGCTGTGCTGTTTAACCCTTGCAGCGCTGGCCGGGGCTCAGGGGTGCAGCCTGGCAGTGCCAGGTCACAGCATGGCACCGGGCTCCCCTGGCTGCTCCCTGCACAGCTTTGCTGAAACACAAAGCTACACCGTGAATCATTCACTAACACAGATACTTAAGGAGCCTCTTCAGCTTTACTCAGCCAAGGTGTTATCAGAATTAGAAGAGGGCTTTAAAGAAAACGATTAGGTTTTAATACCTCTCTCTTTATCTGGGAAAGCTGCTGGGTTTGCTTTTGTTTGTTTGTTTTCCTAGCAGTTTTCTTTAATCCCTTGCATTACTGAAATAAAAGTGTGGTGGAGTATCTTGCCTCTCTTAGGGCTGATACCGTTTGTTTAGAGGGACGCGAGATTTTTCCTGCGTTCTGAGGAAGCTTCTTAGGTATTTGATCAATTTCTGTGTAAAGGCTGGCAAGACTATGACTTAAATG